GAGTCTCCAGACTGATTAGCGAGTGAAATCTTGAAAGCTCGCGAGATCAGGATGGTCTAATGAGGCTATAAGGTTCTTCCTTTGAAAAGTAAAATTATGCAACAATGGAGAAGGCAGCCACATAGTCACCAAAGATTTGAGAAATTCTGTTGCTGCCTTCTGGGGTCCGAAATCCAAATGGGGGCAACAGGTGGTTTGTTTCTTTAACACACTTTCAGTTGTGTTGTTTGACAAATTGTGTTTTTGATTTCCAGCAAAAATAAAAATCTCTTACTAATTAGATTAAAACAATAATTACCTTAATATGATGTTACCAGGTCAAAGTGGTACAAAAAAAGAAATTTTCGAAAACCTCCCATCACCGCACCAAACATTTGAAAAACAAAAGCAATCTCTACCATACCCTCATTAATTCAAGAGGATAAAATAATGAAATGGTTTAAAGTACTCTAAACTACGGAAGCCTGTTTCCGCCACTCTTTAAAAAAAAAATAAAAAATTCTCATTATATTGAGTTAGCATCTCATATTGAGATACTATCTCATTATATTGAGTTAATATCCCATTATATTGAGATACTACAGTATACAATATATTGAGTTACTATCTCATTATAATGAAATACTATCTCATTATAATTAGATTATTTTTATTTATTTTATTTTTTTCTTCCATACTAAACAACTGTAGATATAAAATGAGAGATTCGGGCTCCAAATTAAATGAATTATATCCTTTTATTCTTGAGAAAACTTTAATTTCATAGAACTAAAAATGTAACATCATTGGTCGCAAATGACTTGGTATACATGGAAATCTATCAGCAGGTTTAAGACAGAAATGTTCTTTCCCTCTGACGATTTTGAAATAAGACTCAATAACTACATCCAAATATAGCAATAAAAACATATGAACTTAAAACAAAGAGTGAACATTAAGCTGCTTTGAGACGGTAACGGAGATTATTTATAGAGACTAGAATGTTTTCAACGATCTTCTGGTTACTGAGCAGATGCGTTATTTTCCAGGTTGATCCTGAAGAAGGTGTCTCCTATGCCTCTGTCAGCTACACCAAGAAACCAAACAGCACCAACCGGGTACCGGTCTTATTCCTTATTACACATCTTTATATCCAGAGCTGTTTCAAATGTGTTCTAGTGTCAAAATTACCAAACATGATTTCTATTTGTTGCAGATTAAAAGTGATGATGAAGGAGATGCAGTCACATACAGCACTCTGAAACCTTCCTCCCCTGATCCCAGCAGCATTTAGGTTTTATTTAAAAGATAAACAACTAAACAGACTAAGATGAACAGATTATAAGACAATATCTTTGAAGTCAATTTTGCTTGTATGTGAAAAAGCTTTTGATTTTGGTTGTGAGTTGGAGTGGTACATAGAAGATGAGGATGATATACGATTTTTACAAATAAAACAGAAGACTGGTACAGAAAAAGAGCTTAAAGACGAACACGTAAAATGAATGAATTAGTCCTTCCAAGCCCGTATTTGCTGCAGCACCCCCTAGTGGCGATAGGGATATTTTTAGAAAATGTATTAAAAATACTTTGCACAATTTATGAATTTGTGTTCGCATGGTTCCACCGAGCACTTTCATAACTGTATATGCAATTTTATGTAACCATAGTGTTTTATAGAGTGTTCTTTTGATCTTGTGTTCTTTATGTAATGGATGTGGAGAACTGTTCAATAATGTTTAAATAGTATAATAATTATTGTTTGCGTAAAAGGATTTTGAGGCCAAGGGTCCCGTGTGACATAAAACAGTGACTCGGGTTCTTTCTTGGACAACATGTTGTTCTAGTGTTATTGTGAAGTTTAATTAATAGTGCATATATTCACCTGAGAACTGAAGTGTATATGAAAATAAAGTAGTGAATCTCTATCTATTTTTCTATTTATAAGTTCGAAGTTTCGAAGATGCTTCTGAAACAATACAGCACATAACAGCAGGGTGTAAAATGCAGGCAGGAAGTGCATACAT